ATGCACACACAACTGCACCAGCCCCAAGTCTGGGACATTTCAGAATGTGGATCCAGAAGGCTGGTGAGAGCCAAATGGGATTCCTCCCTTAACCACTCCTGGGCCAGGCCCAGCTGAGTCAGCAGGAGCCAGTCCAGCCAAGCCTGGGAGTGGGAGTTATGTTAGGTGGAGGAGAGAGGGGGTTCCAGAGTGCAGGCACTTGGAGCAGGTGGATGGGTTCACAGCCCAGCCAGGCACTGTGACTCTCAGGAGCTGGTTCCCTTCCCAAGAGAAAAAATCAAGATGCCAGCTCCCATCCAGGGCATGGAGTCCTAGCATTTCACCTTGTAGGGTGATCAGAGCCCTTAAGTAAAATACTAACCCCATGAGTGCTGGTACTATCACTCAGCAAGGCTCTAAGCCTGATAGCCTGGAGGTCCCCAGTCCATGGCCCTCCCCCAAACCACCTACTCCCCCACCCAGGAGTTGTGGGGAAAAGGATTTGAATGTTTGTGCATGTCCAGAGTTTTGCTCCCATTCAGGGTTGTACTGTACCCCGCATTCCACAAGCTCATGGCCTTTAGCCAGGGACATATTCCTGCAATTCGTTGAGCCCTCTCTAACCATGGGCCATGCTAGGGGCTTGCTTCAAAGGATCTCACCCTGTAAAAGTGATTCTCTGCCTACACCCACTTCACAGAAAAAGAAAACTGAGGTTCCAGGAAGCTAAAGCACTTGTTCAGTGTTCCCCAGAGCTAAAAAGAGACTGAGTAGAGATTCAAACGCTGGTCTATCTCAGCCACTTGCCTTCCTCCCCCAGTGAAGAGTCAGACTTCCCTTATTCTTCCTCAGGGGACTCCAGGCTAACCAGTTTCTCATGGACCCTGAAGATTTTTATATGTACAAAGGCATATTGCCCAGGTATCCTGCCCACCAACACACAGGAGCTGCACTGCTCCCACTTGCCTCTGACTCTTAACTGTATTCTGTGTGTACTTCAACATCCCTTTGTCCTTCCACAGACCTCTTTGCCAACTGAAGGTCTTCCCCAGCTTGGGTAATTTAACCAGCTCCCTTCTGGTGGCAGCCAGTTGTTTACTTAGCTTTCATTAGCAACCACGATGCCTTGCGAATCCAGATGCAGACTGCTGAGCCCCTCTGCAGAAGCAATAGAAAGGGATAAAACTTAGAAGAGAGATAGGGCTGGGGCTCAGTTGGTAGAGTTTAATCCACAGCATCAAATAAAACCTGGTGTAGTGATGCACACCCATAACCCCAGCACTTGGAAGGTAGAGGCTAAAAGATCCAAAGGTCAAGATTGTCTTTGTTTACATAGTGAGTCTGAGGCCAACCTGGAGTTCATGAGTACATGAGACCCTATCTCAAAAAAGAAAGAAAGGAATAGAAAAATGAGAAGATGGGCTGGGTGTGGTGGTGCATGCCTTTAATCCTAGCACTTGCAGGCAGATCCCTGTGAGTTCAAGGCCATCCTGGTCTATGTAGTGAGTTCCAGGCCAGGAGACCGTTTCGAAAAAACAAAAAAAAAGAAAGAAAAATAGAACAGAAACCAGCGAGATGGCTCAGTGGGTAAGGATTCCCTGACAACCCACCTGAGGTTGGGTCCCAGGGAGAAAGCAACAGTACAAATGTCTTGCTGGCAGTGGTAGAATAGAACAGAGCCAGGGATGCCCACAATCCCTCAAAGCCTTCCCTGGGCCCTTGCCACATGAGGAGGGGTCTGCATGGGCCAGTAAGCACACCCTGGAGTCCAGGTGACTACAGGTCCCAGGTGTCCCTGCCCTACATATCTGTGTTCTGAAATGCTGGCCCCTCTCTGACACTTGTTCCCAGAGCCCGTGGCTCAGATGACAGGTTCCATCGGCACTCTCAGACTTAGGGAATGCCACTTCAGGACTGAGGAGTGTTCTAGTTTGTTTCTCCATTGCTATAACAAAATACTCTGACAATACCAGCTTGGGGAGGAAAGGGTTTAAAGGGTTTATTCAGTTTACATCTCCTGGGTAACAGTTCATCAGGGAGTCCAAGGTAAGAACTCAGGGTAGGAACCTGGAGGCAGGAGCTGAAGCACAAGCCATGAAGGAATGCTCCCCTGGTCCGTGCTCAACCTGCTTTCTTGTATAACACAGGCCCACCTGCCCAAGGGTGGTACCACCCACAGTGGACTGGACCCTCCCACATCACTCAACAGTCAAGAAGAGGCCCCACAGACATGGCCACAGGCCAGTCCAATAAAGGAAATTCACCAATTGAGGCGCCTTCTACCCAGGTATGTCAGGTTGACACTAAAGCTATCTAGCACAAGGAGGGAGTGACACAAACATTCTTGTCAGTGAGGAGCCCTGGCAGAGGCAGGCAGGAGAGCAAGGCAGAGCCAGGGTGCCCACCTGCAGCTACTTTGGGAGTGAGGAGGCACTGTTTCCACCTCCTGGCTGGTCCTCTAAGCAGGGCCTTGGAGAGGTGGGAGGGAGATGTGTCAACACCAGATTTCTGGGTCTCTAGGGCCCAGAAATCTGCATTTTACAAACGGCTCCTCAAAAACCTCTGGTTTTGTGTTTTGTTTTGTTTCCATTCACTTGTTTTTATTTTTAATTTTATTCATTTATTTATTTTATTTATTTTATTTTATTTTATTTTATTGGCCTTTTTGAGACAGGTTCTCCCTGTAGCCCCAGCTGTCCTGGAACTCACTATGTAGACCAGGCTGGCCTTGAACTCACAGAGATCCACCTGCCTCTGCCTCCCAAGTGCTGGGTTAAAGTCATGCACCACCACGCCTAGCCCTATTATTTTTATATTATGTGTTTGAGTGTATTACTTGAATAGAGATAGGTGCACCTGTGTCATACAATGCCTGTGGAGGTCAGAAGAGGGCATTGGATCCCCTGTAATGAATTATGGACAGTTGTTAGCTGCTATGTGGGTGCTGGGAATTGAACCTGGGTCCTCTGCAAGAGCAGCCAGTGCTTTTAACCACTGTGTCATTGCTCCAGCCCCCACCCCATTCACTTGTTTTTTAAAAATACTTTATTATTTTTATTATAGTATATGAGTGCATTGCCTGCACATGTAAGTGCACCCTCATTGTGCAATGCACGAGGAGGTCAGAAGAAGGTGTCGGATTCCCCTGGAACTGGAGTTAAGGACAGTTGTTAGCCACCATGTGGGTGCTGGGAACTAACCTGGGTCATCTGCAAGAGCAGCCAGTGCTCTTAATCCCTGAGCCATCTCTCCAGTCCCTATTTCCATTCACTTGTTTTGTAGCATCTCACTCTGAAGTCCAGGCTCACTGGTGATCCCCCACCTCAGCTTCCAGAGCACTGGCATTATGGATGTGAGCCACCATACCTGGAACTACCTCCTGAGTGGCCTATGATGGTATCCTAGGTTTCTTTGAAATGGCAATTTGGGTGCTCTTTTCTTGCTCTGTTTTTCTATTTCAACTGGAGATGGAACCCAGGACCTTGAACATTCTAAGCCAAGCACTCTGTCCCTGACCTGCACCCCCAGCCCTTGGGATTTTGAGGTAGGGTCTCTGTGCAGCTCAGGCTGGACTTGAACTTAGGATCCTCCTGCCTCAGTGTCCCAAGTGCAGTGATTATAGATGTGAGCCTCTTCACCAGACTTAACCTTTTCAAAAAGAGATTTATTTTAGTTTTTAGTGTGTGTGTGTGTGTGTGTGTGTGTCTGTCTGTCTGTCTGTCTGTCTGTCTGTTTCGAGGTGGGGTGCATAATGTGCATGTGAGTGCAAGTGTCTTTGGAAGCCAGAAGAGTGGTCAGATCCCTTGGAGCTACAGGCAGTTGTGAGCCACCTGATGTGGGTACTGGGAACTTCACCCCTCTGGAAGAGCAGTACTTACTCTTAACCATTGAGTCACCTCTCCAGCCCTAACCACCTTATTTTATAAATAGGAACTAGCAATAGGGGATTGGCCTGGAGACTGACTGTGAAACTTGAATCCAAGCAGCCCGCAGTTCTTGTCCCTTCCCACCCCCCAAATCCTCATTACTCTCCATTTGAGCTCTAAACCCTGAGGGAGTCTCTAGTCTCCCCAGGCCCTGAGCTTCTCCTTCCTAGCTGGGCTCCCATCTCATCCCATGCTCCCCAGGGCTGCACTGAGTGATCCCTCTCTGGTGTCCCTCCCACTCTAGCTCCTGCCCAGGCTGTTTTCCATCCACCCCTGTTGCAGCCTTCTGCACCTTGTCTCACCCCGGGACATACTGGCAGGATTGTGCAATGTGTCCATTCTCCCGCCAGAACTGAGCAGCTTTTATAATCCGCCACGAAGTCTCTATCATGCAAGTACCCGTGGTTATGAAAGTTTCAACAGATATTGTGACCTCCCTGGTTGACCTGGGTGGTGGTAGTGGCCAAACTTCCTGTTCATTTGGGCCAGGACACTGTGTGCCAAGTTCTTTGTGTGACTAGCAACAGGAATCGCTTGTAACCATTCGGGATGTGAGTCCTTATCATCCTTTGGCAAAGGAAGAAATTGAGGCAAAGGGACAGAAATAAAACACTTCACTGGCTACAAGTGGCCACAGGATTTGTCCCCAACGGCAGTCACACTGTCCCTACCTGAGTGTCTTAGGCGCCGATGCAGGGCGAAGACACCCGCACCTTCACACACACACACACACACACACACACACACACACACACACACACACACACACCCGGGTCTCTCCACAGGTGGAGTGTTCCAACTCGGTATCATCAAAGGTGGAGTGTCAGGCTTGCCCGGGTGAGCCCTTCAGCCAGGGGGCGCGCCAGGCCCGAGGTGAGCGATGGGCGCGGCCTTGCTTGCTGGCGCAGGTGGCCTCGGCGACCTAGTGCAGGCTGCGGGCTGCGTAGCCTCTGGAGACCCGCGCGGCGGGGGTGGTGTCCGGCGGGGACCCGGAGCGCGCTCCCGAAGCCACGCCCATCTAGGTAAGCACCACCTTCCGGGGGAGCGGCCTGAGAGCCAGTGGCCGGCGATCGCTCCGCCCTGCGCCAGGTAGTGACCGGGCGCAGCGGCCCTCGCCACTCAGGGCTCCGCGCCACCGCCGCCGCCGTTCTCCAGCCCCCGCCGCCCGCTTTCGGTGCGCGCCGGCTCCGTCGCCGCGTCCCAAATCCCTGAGCCCTGAATGCCACCATGCATTCGCTCTTCAGGAAGAGAAACAAAGGCAAATACAGCCCGACCGTGCAGACACGGAGGTGAGGAGGCGCCCTGGGCCCGGGCGTGGGGGACCCAGGGAACGCAGAGCTGAACCAGGAGTCGCGGACGCGTGGGGACGTCGGGCCGAGGCCTCTCTGGAGCTGGGATACTCCATCAAGTTGGATGGGACGGGCTGGGGGCACCATGAATGACTCAAGGGACCCTGAGCTCCAGGATGCGCCACGTTGGGGGTCTAAACAGTGGGGGACTGAGTAATGAGTACTAGGCACTGACTGCACCATAAGCTGGGGTCGCCCTGGGCCAGGGATCCCTGTTGTGATACGGAACGGTGTGTCCCGGGAGGTGCAGTCACTCCAGGGGGCACCCTAGGAACCGCCCCCCCGCGAAAGTGAGCTGGGTGTGGAGTGCTCGGGAGAGGGCTTTGGAGAGCGCGCAGGTGCTGCTGGAGTCGGGGACGCGAGAGATGAGGGTGCCACGGGCGGGCCACCTGCCCTAACTCTTCCCAGCCACACCTGCTCCCTGCGCTGGAGCACCCCGAGGCCGCGACGGGTGCAGGGTCAGCTGGGACCCGGGCTAAGGCATCCCGCTGCTCCCCAGACTCCAGGCTCTGAGCGGCTGGGCGGCTTCGGGCCTCCTTCTGGCTGAACCATTTCTCAGGGGTGTGGCTCTGCGCGCTTCCCCACACCCCTAGCCCCGAAACTGGCGGTGTCTCCGAGCCCTGAGTTCCCAGGGCGGCCTGGGAAGTGAATGACATGTCTTGATGCGTCGGGATGGAGTGCCAGCCCACGTCCGTTTTGATAAGCCTAATGTATTCATTCACTTAATAACCGGTTTGGGGGAGACTCGTGGAGATGCTGAGATTGAGGGAGGGGGCGGTCTCCCGCCTCTGCCTAGCCCCCCACTAGGGAAAACGGGGGGGAGGCAGTCCTCCCCAGAGAGCTTAAGGCAGAGGAGGAGTCACAGGTGGCACAGCCCACCTGGCTGGGAGGTTCCACATCATGCTGCCCTTCCCCCACTGGTCTTTGAGCAGTTCCTCTCCCCTCCCCAGACTCCAGATGGAGGCAAGAAGGGGAGCTCTGGGCCCAGAGCACTCCCCTCCATGCAGTCCAACCCAGACCCACCTGTCAGACAGGTGCCCCAGGGCCTGAACTGTGCAGCCTGGAATGTGACCCGCATGCTCCAAAACTTTCAGAAACTCGGCTGCCACTAGCAGCTGGGGGCTGTTTGAAGCTCAGTCATTTGTTCCCTTTCTCCTTGGTCCCCTCCCCTGTCCTGCCCTCCCCTCATCACCCCTGTCCTTCACAACCCCAGAGACTGGGCAGAGCCCTGCATTCTGTTCCTCTGTGGCTGGTCCAGCTGGCTGTCAGACCCAGTTGGGGTCTCATCCAGTATTGGAGCTGCTCTCTGGAGCATTGAGCAATCCCACACTCCATGCCAGACCCACATAATGGGTCTGTCTTTCCCCGCAAACAGTCAGGTCCCTGTGGTCCTCAGCACTTGGAGATTCCTACATTGTAGGAGCAGGGCCAGCTCCCCCCACCTCCAGCCCTCCAGCTCAGAAGGCTAGTGAAGCCAGTAGGGTAGGGAGGGGTGGAAGGAAGACTTCCCATCCTTTCCAGCTGCTGGAACTCCAAGAGCCTAGGGGTTAAGGACAGATAGTCCTGCCTGCCTCCTGAGAGGGGTGGCCCCATTATGTCCTTGGCTGACAGCCTTGGCTGTAGACCTCAGTTTAGAGGTCTCACTCCAGGAAGAGTCAGCCATTCTCTCCTTAGGATCCTCTGAAGAATCCTCTGGGTTCTTGTGGCCTTGAGTGGGAACCAGACACATTTCTTCATGGACTCTTAGCCCAGGGTGCCTTCTGCCCCTTCCCCTTACTGGAGACTAGATTCTGACCCAGTTGGGGTGGGGCAGCTCTGCATCCCTTCAATCTTGCGGACTCCTCCTCCCCCTCCTCCCCCTCCTCTCCCTCCTCCCCCTCCTCCTCCTCCTCCTCCTGTTGAGACAATCTTGCCTTGCTGGTCTCCTTGAACACATTGTATATTCAGCCTGGCCTTGAACTTCCAACCCTCCTGCCTCAGCCTCTACAGTGCAGGAATTATAAGGATCTCTGAGCACTGGCTGGTGCCCAACCAGCTCAGTAGCAAGCACTATGGGGTGTGTGTGTGTGTGTGTGTGTGTGTGTGTGTGTGTGTGTGTTCATGTGCGCAAGTGCTTTTTGTTTTAAACTGATGGTTGCAGGCTGCAGGGAGTGGCCCCCTAAAATGTTATTTCATTCTGAGTTCTCTGAAACTCCTCTGTGTCTGGGGGTGGGTAGAGTGTTGGTGAGAGGCAGCAGTAGGTAGGAGCCAGGTCCTGGAGCAGAAACCTTGCTGCTCTCCCTGGTTTTACAGTATTGGTGGAAAGCTTTGAGTTTGGTTCCCTGCATTTTACCTATACGGTGCTGGAGAAACAACGTCCCACATACTGTAAGTGCCCAGGTGAGGGTTATCCATGCCTCTCCAAGCCCAGCGGACCTAGTAACCCTGAGTCCAGCCCTTCACTCCCAGGCTGCCAAAGGGAGAGCCACCCTCCCTGTTTGTCTGCCTATTAGCAGCTGGCACCGGGTCGGGGGTGCTGGGCAGGGTGTGAACCCCACTGCTCCTGTTGCCCTAGTTCCTAATGACAGGTGTGAGAGCTGGTGTTCACACCTGAGCTAATGACAGAGTCAGGCTTGGTGGCTCAGGTTATCAAGGATCAAGTGTAATGGTTGTTAGCCACCATGTGGGTGCTGGAAACTGAACCCAGGTCTTTTGCAAGAGCAGCCAGTGCTCTTAACCACTGAGCCATCTCTCTCTCTCTCTCTCTCTCTCTCTCTCTCTCTCTCTCTCTCTCTATATATATATATATATATATATATATATACACACACACACATATGTGTGTGTGTGCTTTATGAAAAACCTACTTACATCCTCCTCATCTTTCATCCACTTGATCTGCCTGCTCAGTATGACCCCACAAGGACAGTGCACCTTGTCACATCCCCTCCAAAGTGTTCCTTATTCACCTCTCTCTGTCATCTCTGCTTAGACATCCCCATCTTTTCCCTCCTATATCAGTACTTTAGCACCCTGCATGGTTTCCCACCATTTATTTACTCTACCCCCTCCCTGACCCTGGTCTTGTACAAAGACTAGATGAGGCTGCTCAGGTCCCAGCATTCCCCTTTTTAGAGAGAACCCCATCCCCACCTACCTACCTTCTCCCTTCACCTGGCCTTTGATCTGATGGCTGTTCCTGTCATAGCCCAGGGGGCTACCACATAAGGCAGAAGGGCCTTGAGACTGACAGGTTAGGCAATGGGCTGGGTGGCTAGGTGTGACCCAGCAGAGAGGCTTGGGAGGGCTTCCCTGGGTACCAAGGAGAACTAGGAGGGGAAGCCAGTGAAGGAGGAGGGGGAAGGGCACTCCAGGTAGGAGACACGGCCTGGGTAAAGGCCCTGGGACAGCATGGAGATGGGCTAGGCACTAATACTGAGCACAGTGGCAGCTGCCAGGGCCTCAGATCAAAGAGTAAACAGTCAGGGACAAAGTCATGGCATAAAGCTGTGCCAGAGGCAGGGAGAGGGATGCGCTAGGGCAGAAAGACCGATAAAGGGGTGGCTACAAGGATCTAAAATCCTAGGGACCCTGTGGACTCCTGGCTCTACAGGCAGAGAGAGCGAGGGGCATGTAAGGGACAAAGGGGCAGCAGGTGGCCCAAGAGACATAGAAGACTCTCAAAGTGAGAGAACAAAGCCCTGAGACTGGTGTCCTCTTCCACTGCCTGGGCAGGCTGGGGCAGGCCAGCAAGAGGGCACAGACAGTGCCAGTGAGGTCCTGCTCCCCTAGCGCCCTGGGAGTGCCCCATCCCCTCAGCAGTGGGTGAACTATTACCTTAAAGGGCGTTAGCTGAGCTCTGTGTCCCCCAAACTCTCTGTCCCCAAAGTCTGGCCATTGACAATGCCTACCCACCACCATCAACAGCACTTCCCACAGGCTGAACTCTGGATCTCTCCATCTGCCCCATCCTGCTGAGAGAGCTGGACAGATAAGGGTGTGGGAACTCAAAAGACAATACTAACACTTGAGAGACAGAAGGATTGCCATAAATTCAAAACCAATCTGGGAACTAGGCATGGTGGTATACACCTTTAGTCCCAGCACTCAGGAGGCAGAGGAAGACAGATCTGTTAGTGGGAGGCCAACCTGGACTACATAGCAAGTTCCAGGCCAGCCAGGGATATACAGTGAGGCAATATCTTAAACACACACACACACACACACACACACACACACACACACACAAAGCCAATCTGGGATACATAGTTAGTTGAAGGTCAATCTGGGCTATAGAATGAGTTTGAGGCCAGCCTGGGATACATAGTGAGTTTGAGGTTAACCTGGGCTACATAGTAACTTGAGATCCTGTCTCAACACACCTCCCCTCATCAAAAAAAAAAAAAAAGGTGTGGGAGGGTAGTGAGGGTAGGGGTGCAGAACCAGAGTTAGAACTCTTCACCATCTGACCTGGGAGTTCCTGGACTAGGCTGGTCACCAGCCCCACATATAGGGATGAGCTTCCCTCCTCAGGGACTGCTGTGTCTGAGCATAGGCTACTTGGGAGCACAGGGTGGTGTCTTTACACTCAGCCTCAGTGTTCACCTCTGGGACATAGCCCCAGAATGACATGTCACAGTATCCCAGGCATGTGGCACTTGGCAGGTGCAAGGAAAGTTTCGGGCTGCATACTGTCAAGTCAGCCAGGAGGGATGGACTTTGCTGACAGGCCCTCCTCCAAATCCTTCCCCTTCTGGCTATTACTAATCCATGGGTACATGCATAGTCTCCTTGAGTTGTCCACCTGGCAGGTGTTTGGTCTTATCAGTCATTTCCCTCTTAGCAGCATGTGATGGTTGCTTTCTCTGAGATGGCTCCAGCCTGGTCCCATCACACACATCACTTTGCTGATCCACCCAGCAACTTGGTCAGGTGGGGGTTGCTATTACCACTCCTATTGC